TATATATATATATATATATATACCAAGTGTACAAGTATGAAATGATGATTTTTTTTCCAAAAAAACACGTTAAATTCGGAAGAATGATAAAAAAGATTTATTCAAAGTATGCTCCATTGCTAGTTACACATTTGTCCCATCTTTCGGGCAATTTGTGAATACCACGCCAGTAAAAATCCCCTTCCGCGAACCATTCATCGAGCCATTTTTTCATCTTCGTACGAACCAAAGTGCTGCTCAGCAAGTGCGTGATCCATCGATGCAAACAAGTGGTAATCGGAAGGAGCCAAGTGTGGTAAGTAAGCCGCATGGGGTAGAACTTCCCAGCTGTGTGCTTCCAACGTGTCCCGAACTGGTTTTGTCGTATGTGATGGAGCATTGTCATGGAGAAAATGACCTTGTGTTGCCTCTTTTGGTATTCTAGTCGTTTTTTAAGCAGCGAACGGTTCAAATCGATCAATTGTTGTTGATAGCGTTTGATATTAATCGTTTCGCCAGGCTTCAATAGCTCATAATAGACCACACCCTTCTGATCCCACCAAACACAGAGTATCGTTTTCCTGCCAAAGCGATTCGGTCTTGCGATCGATGTGGATGGTGGGCCTGGGTCTACCCATGATTTTTTGCACTTGGGATTCTCAAAAAAAATCCACTTTTCATCCCCAGTAACGATACGATGCAAGAATGACTTTCTTCTGTATCGTTCGAGCAAAATTTCACATGTGATTTTGCGTCTCTCCATCTGTCTCTCGTTCAATTCATGTGGCACCCATCTGCCGACTTTCTGAATCTTTCCCATCTCTCGTAGGCGATTGGAAACAGCTTGTTAACTAACGCTCAATTGCTCTGCGAGTTGTTTTTGTGTTTGTGAATCATCTTCATCCAGCAATGCTTGCATTCCACGTCTTTGTACTTTTTGGTTTTCCGTGTTCCTTGTCTGCAACATCGAAATCTCCAATTTTGAAATGCTAAAACTATCGTTTTTTTGCGATGGAGCATGTTCACCATAAGCTTCTCCAAGTAATCGGTATGATTCCGCAGCAATTTTCTTCAAATAAAACAAGAAATTAATGCTGTCCGCGAATGCTCCTTATTTGATACAAATTTCATCTTATTAAACACAGCAACACAATACTATACAAACACTTTTCAATCAAATCATTTTGCGCGTTTGACACTTGTTGATGGTACAATAAAATGGCGTATAATGTTAAATCTTTATACTTCACTGCATTGGTGCACCATCTGTTTCTCAAATCGTCATTTCATACTTGTATACCTGGTATATATATATATATATATATATATATATATGTATGTATTTTTGACTCTAATAAATTTTGTTATCAAATATTACAATTACTGGAAGTAGTTCTATGTTACGTCATATGTCGTCGTATACTACTACAATAATAACACTACTGGCTCAGTATTGACACTTGCGTAGTAATATTACTGCAGTAGCA